GAACGCTGGTCCAAAAGCAGACCATCTGTTAAACATGCAGAACGGACTGGCCCAGAGGCCAGACCTCCTGGCGAAGGTACAATGGGCAAAATATAAAGATGTCCTTTGCCAAAGTCAATTGTTAAACAAACAGCCAACGTATCACACAGGGCATGGTACAGTTCTCCACTTGTAACTTTGCAGGGTCCCAGGCAGGGTAGTAGTAAGGTGTGTGGCAAACAAGAAGATGGGATTATTTTCACTTTTGCCACTTAAAGCAAACGAAGAGATTAAGTGACTGAGAAAAGAGAAATTTTAGCCAAATTGGCTTTGCCATGATTGGTCTACGTAAAGCTAATGGACGTTTAACTCCATTTTCTTAAAAGAAATCTAGTCATGCAAAGAAAAACTACAAATTGAAATATTCTATTTAAAAATTGCAGAATAAATTAGTAAGACTGAGCAAGTTTACCTAAAACATGGATTCACATTCCAATTGACTGCCACATCAGTAAAGATTCGGAACAATCAAACTTTTTACACACCTGAAGAATCCGTAGATTCCCCTGTTTTTATTTTCTGCTTTATTAACTACGAAGTTGAGTTTTCAGCTACCAACTTTAGACAAGCAGTACCATTTGCTTTGGTGTGTGTGAAGCGTTTCATTCAAGCCGAGGGGAAAAGTAATGAATGATGAAAAAGTCGTGACAGTAGGTGCCTGTGTCTATTTTGGCCGTTACCAAGTTAGCAGTAACGCCGGAAATAGCTGGTGCATTTGGCATGTGGCACAGATGAAAACACGCGCAAATACCTACTGTGGGTGTGAGTGAGTTGGTCCACAATAGGCGTAAATTTCCTCCTCCTTCTTCTTCTCTTTTTTTCTTAACTTTTTACCATCGTATGCACCAAATCACACTCGTCAGCAGGACCGCACACAACCACGTGCGTTCACAGTGAGTGGTCCACAATTTTCACATGACCTTATGAGCAGGTGTGTTCTCATGTGTGTGCGTGCACGCGGCCGTCTGTGGATGAGTTCACGTGTCGCCAGTCCGTTGATACCGGATACCACGAGTGACCTGAATTGCAGCAAGCAGGCACGAATGCGAGAGCCAAGCTTTCACCTCATCCTCTTGCAAAATGAAAGAAGAAAGCGAAAAGCCGAAAGGCGGTGAGATAAGGTAAGTGTCTCTGTTTCGCTTGGCGGAATGAGAACAAACATCTGGAATGTCGATTTTTAAAGGTACATGACTGACATTAATGATTGACTTGAACTCTGACAGTTTTGTCTACACCTACCACAACAACACTTTACGTGAGGCGATAGTGAAACGTTGTTTTGAAATCAAGATAATTTACAGAGGATTACGTAGTATCTGCTTGTTTAAATGCACATTTTAAGAGAAGAAAGGTCAGATTGCATCAACCGATTCCCGGGGAAGAAATTCTGATAATTCGTGAAATTCCTGTGCTACTCAATATAAGATATCTCACTTTATCCAATCTCGTCGATTCAATGATCTTGAACTACAGGTAGAGGAGAGGACCAACGCAAATATTGTAATTGTGAGAAAGATAAGTGACTTGCAAAATTGGACTAAAATATTTTTTAAAGTACCAATTTTGGTCTTATGTTAGTTTTCTAAATGGCGCATTAATTACTTAGTCCTTTTTACATGCAGCATTCTTGTTGAAAAACTGAATTTTCGTACGGGGAGTTAAGAGGTGGGGTCAATAATCCGTTTGCTGATTTTTAGCGCAAAATATGTTTAAAAAAAATTCAGTAATGTATAGGAAAAAAAGGTCTTTGTTAGAATGAGGCAACTTCAGTGATCAAATAGCCATCTTGCAAAGGTATGCTAGTGGCTACTTAATTGTCATGCTTTAGGTAGTATTATACTTGTAGGGATCTGTGTATGTCAGGAGATTTGACAGCGCTTGTAACATCAAAATTTGTCCGTGGATGAATAGTGTAGCAGCCTCAAAAGAGCATTTTTGCATTGTACTAGGGATTTTTCTTGCTTAACTTTCAGAAAAAAATATCCACCTAGAGGTTACCTTATCCAACCTCTCGGAAAAGCAGCCATCCAAGTGGCGCCTCTGTCAATGTCTTTTTGGAGAGGTGCATATGCAAAAATGGCGACTTCATGACCAGCGAGCCTGCCTGTTGAGGTACTTCAAAGCGTTGTTAAGAGTGATTAGGACTATCGAATTGCGCCGGAGCTGAGGGAAAGCTAATTTACGTTTGATGTAACCTGAACTCCTTCTGTCACCTCTGCTTCGTCTTCTACACCCTCATCTCTGTTGTGGAGGGGTCCAAAAGGTTTCATTAAATTGCCGAATTTGGCAGACATTTACAAGCAATATTGTTGTAGGTACTGGTAGAAGAGTATGTTGGTTTCTATACAGACATATTTAGTAAATCATAAATTAATAAAGTCAGTTTTTGATACCTCATTTGTAGCACCCTGAGACTTCACTGAAGACCAATGAATACATAATACCAGGACAGAGTGTGTATTGCCAACGCACAGAAGGGCCGGGGGTACTGGCATGGTCTGGAGGCCATTCCACTACAAAAGTACGAAAGTGGAGACTTTAGTGCCTTTGAAACGAAAACGGGAAGTTGGACATACAAACAAAGCTTTACGACACGGAGTTCTTATAACGATTAAGAAAGTTCCCCTTATGTGAAAAGGGCATAATTTATGCTATTTAAAAGGTAAACATTTTGGCCTTAGTCTAATTCTTCCTGCAAGTACAGGTAGAAGTTATTTTTGAGGTAGACGAATTCATCTTTCACAGCCCTATGTGATTAAGAATGTTTGCGCTGCTTTTGATATGGACCTCTGTAAGCCGTAGAAACGAGTAAACTGAATGCCTTAAGAAGCAGAGGCATGAATCAGTCACTATTTATCGTGTTCCTTGCTCCTTTCTTTTCATTTTTAAACTTGGGATCATAAAGTGCCATTAAAATCAACCAGTGGGTATGATTTAAGGACGTCTGTTTTACGGAATCGAGATTGAATCGTACCAAAAGTTGGTGAAAGCTCATACCTAGTCTCGTTGACAACATATCCAGAAGGTGCGGTGGCAGAACGCTTCGCTAAAAATGACACTGTGTAATTCGGAGAAGTCGCCCTTATTCCTGATGGTGTCAAAAACTGGGGAGGGAAAGCCGTGGAAGCGCTTATGAGATACACGTTAAAAGATGACAATAAGTTTGAAGGACTGTCAAGTTGTCAAGTGCTAGGAAATAGTTTACGTACTTCAGTGTCAGGTAACGACCATATCGTTAGTTATCTCCAGACGATTAGCTCGCCACCCATCACACACGTCAGAGGCATGATGGCTCCAGAGGGTTATGCTTGTGCTTGCGTGCAGGCTGGACGCCAGACGGAGTGGTTCACTTATAGCTGAAATCTATCCACCCTATGCAAGGGGTGTTGTTCAAGAGCGGCCCTCTCTTTAGAAACAGCATGAACTAATGAATCAGCGGGTAGGAAGTACAACTTTTAGTCCGACAGGAAAGTGTGAGACAGCCATGAAAAATTTAACATTTTAAGATAGGCGAGAGACGTTTCTCTTGACGCAAAGTGATTATCACTTCTTCTTGGAATTACCTCTAGGCAGTCATTTTCGAAATAAAAGATAATTCAGAAAAATTTTTATTGGAGTCGATTTGGAGGCTAAATTTCGTCCAGTTGTGAAAGGACAGGATAGGAGATTGTAGTGACGACTTCTCTGAGACTTCGGATTTTCCAACTTATCCGACTACGGAATCATCAAATTCTTTTGCAATTCTTTTGTCTTAGTTCCGTAGAAAATACCAAAAATACAAGTTTCTTCAAACCCACGGCAGCAAATGTAGCTAAACCAGAGAAATTTCTCCGACTCTCAAATCGGTAAGAGAATTTTTAAACCTTTTGCCTCATTTTACGAGAGAGCACTTTATCTCTACATGGAGCATACTTGCCTACGAAAACCTGACCACAAAGTCCGTGGGGCAGAAATTCTATGCTCCGGCCTTCTCCCTCTTAGAATGCAGGTTTGAGAGCCATTGCCTTGCCAGAAAGCAGCAATCGTAAGCCACCTTCAGACAAAAAGTAGTAGCCACTTTCCATCAAGGTACAAAAGTATGGGAATCTGAAACCACTATATCTGTGAAGGTAATATGCCTCTCATCCTCTCTTGGATGAAATTGGCATAAATAAATGAGGGTTATTGAGAATGATATTTCAAATGGAATAGATAATCCTTTAAGAAAAAAAATTTTGCCACCATATTTGATGATGAATGAGAAGCAAATGAACTTTGTTTAATCATTTTTGCAAAAGTGATTTAAATATCACCAAAGAAGGTCCTTTTTGGAACGAGAACATGAACAACTGAAAACTTTTAAAACGAAAACGCAAACTTGTCTTTAACTCACCGACGGAGAAGGTCTACAAAAAGCCAACTTGGCGACATCCTGTCTAGTTAAAAAGCATGGAAGTCCCCACCAAGCATGGAAGAAGCAAAGAGAAGGCGGTGAGAAATTGAAAACAATCGGAGTATTTGTACAGGAATTAAATGCACACAATCAGCGAATTCAATGATGTCAGAAAAAGTAGGAAGTTGTCTGCGCCTCTAGGCATCGAAACACTTAGAATATTGCTATATGCATATGTGGCTGTGGCTGTATGTCTGGGCATGTATGCACGAGTTTAGTGTATGCCGTTGTGGGTATACATATATGTATTTATGGGCGAAAAATGAGAAGGACATAGGCGTCATTCTGCTCCCTAGATGGCGAGGCATAAAAAAATAGGGCATACACACGCTCGCTTAGGATGGATGAGCGGAAGGATAGATGAATAGCTTTCCACATACACCCGTATTCATGTTTCTCCTTGCTGCTTAGCATTGGGCGAATAAAGGACACGGTTACGAGGTGGATAGTTGAAGAGAGGGCTAACAAGCTGGGGCAGGGGATGTGTGAGTGGTCCAAGCAGCAATGTGCAAAAAGGAGGATCAACAAATCAAGTGAGAATGAATGCTGTGGGTTGCTGCCGACACGTACTAGCGCGCTGAGGCACACTGATCATGCGGAAGGTGCCTTGACAGTCGAAAGTATTGAGAGCCCGCCAACGCGAGGTCAAGCCGGGGTAACCGGTGCCAGGACAGCGGTTACCCAGCTCGGGGCGCATGTACTTGGGGTAGCAGGTAGCACAAATCTGTTGGCCAGGGCGCAGCAGAGCTGTCGACAGCCAGGGATGATCCAGGTCGTAAATGCGCTCGAATGAACTGCCCCACGGATTCTGAGACCTACCCTCCTGTCTTCGTGGTGGTGCTCCTCCCGCTTTGCAGGCATCATTGGATTTGATTATTTCGTAGTAGGCACTGTATCTGCATAGTTATGAAAAAACCTATTTATTTAAACTGACGAAGTGACAAGTTCTAATGCTTTGTTAACTGGGGAAAATATCGACTTTATGGCACATTAACTCAATGAATAGTAAAATCGCTAGTGATTTGAGCTAGTGACAGGTTTTGACAGTCGGTTCAATAATTATTTGCATTGGAGGAAAATAGGAAAATTCCTTCAGGATTTTAATAAACAAATTGAGTAACAAAATGCAAAACCAAAAATTAGTGGGGTTTTCTAAAAGAATCAACCAAAGGCTTTTCGCAATTAAATCATAATTAAAAATATTCTAATCAAATTCGCATTAATTTAGAAATGTACAGATAAGAAACTCGCAGTACATTGATAAGCAGTGATATTGTGTTTCAGAAAAACAGAAAATATTTATTTTAAGAAATCAGGTTTATATCCCAATTATTAATTTATCTATTTAAAAATTTTAAAATGCCAAAAAACGTCAAAAATATGTACATCAAATAAACTTGAGAATCTTGAACAGATTGCTGATTCTATTAACCAATCAAATTTTGCGAAAATCAGCAGCAGTGACTCCTCTTTATTAACTTCTTTTATTCATCAACGAAGGAGAAGTTCAAACATATTTCAAATAAAACGAACAATAGATCTTATTCAGAGGGCTATATTTCTCTATTTAAATGGTTTTTATCTTTCAATCAAGGGAAGTTTTTATCTTTCAATCAAGAGAAAAGGCGCATAGGCCATGCAGAATGTAATTCCTGTTCTGTTTATTTGCTTTAGGAAACCAGAATGCGTCTAGTGAACGAAGAGGACGCTTGAATTTGCCCATTTTCTTACTTTATCACACTGGCAAAAATGTGTACTTCCTCTTTGCTTCCATTTTACTCATTCATTTCTTCTGCATGGGGCAAGATGCAACACAAATTTCGGCAGTTGTGCTTCCCCCTGGCCCAGGTGCTTGATGGTACACCTACAGAACCGCGTCTACACACGCACATGCAGTACATATACGCAAACTAGAGTAAATGTATTGCGTAGTTCGCTAAATCCTTTTATCTGCCTCGACTTATTTCCCTCCCTTTGGAACAAATCCGTGGAAGAGCGCGTACCACTTTGGGTGGGGTAAAAGAGGATCCAGCAGCATCAACTTACGGTTCGGGGTCCGGTATATCGGTTTTATTTTGTTGTATCAAACGCCCGTAGTAGAGTTTCCGACGAATGTCCCAACGCATGTCGAACTGCTTTATCGTTTCCTCTATATCCCCATCTACCGGCAGTAGATTTGCAACCTCTAGAACAAAGTGTAAGAAATAGTGAACTTGATTGCACAATATAGTAAATGATCCCCCCTTTTTCGGCCATGGTCAAAAACTGACAAGTGATCCTTAAAATTAGGGAAGAGCCATTAATCTAACCTGAAGGCAGTTCCATATGACGATAAGAGTTGTATTCAGACCTTCCAACACGTCTACGATTGCAGGTGAATCCACTGCATGTGCGTGATTCCATGAGCAGTGGACATTGATCGCCGCCATTGGCCGCCTCTCTTGTAATGCTTCGGGTTCGAGTCTGGTTACCCTTTCCGCAAAGACGGTTGCAAGGTGACCAACGGCTCCATGCGCTCACCCCACAGTTGATTTCTACAAAGACGCCCCCAATAAATCAAACTTACTTGAAAACAACAAAAAGTAGGGCAAATGAAAAGCTGACTTACTGGGCTTTGCGCAGACGTCTCTATAGTCCCAGCAACAGTCGTTAGTTCGTAGACAGTACTCGTCACAAAAACACCTTGCTGCGTGCTGAAGGAATCGTCTGGAATCGGCTAATCTGTAGCCTCGGGGAGTGTAACTATACGAGACGTGAGTGACACGCAAGACACCTCTGCAATTAGCACGTCCAGTGCAACAAATCGGATTGCCATCGTGGTTGCGACAGGAACCACTTCTATCGGCAAGCTCGGTGTTGAAACTACAGACAGTCAGAAGAAGCAGCAGTAGCACTAGCCTCATCGCTGATGTGAAAAGATTGGCCTGCATCGGAAAATCACCCTTGATGGATGAGCGATATGTTACCGGTGACCTGTTTCAAGCCTTATATACCACAGGGTAATGTTCGTGCCTAGGTGCACGCTGATTGGCTGAGCAGCGAAGCGCTGAATATGAACAGGGAGAACGGTCTGTCCAATTGCAGTGTGTTTTTGTCAGAATCAAGGGCAGCGCAGCTTAGCTAGTCTCCATAACAGTCTAAAGTAGACTACACAGGGGTAAGAGGGCCTACGTAATTTGATCGTGAGAGGTGTTTCCGTGTCGTTACCTCCAAAAACCACAAATAATTGGTGGAATATTTGTATAGGTGGTTTATTTTGGAAAAATCTGTGCAAAATTCAGCACACTTTTAGCCCTTAAAACAGCTTCTTTTAAACTGGCAACTTCGTGTTACCAAACTGATTGTGGGAGTTCATTCACCCTATCGATTTGTGCCCAGTCGATTAATTGATTTTCGATGACTTATTAAAACGAAGTGAACGCCGCGTGTTACCTTATACACGCCCCAATGACCTAGAGAGAGGGATTTTGTTTTAATTCGCCTTTAGAAAGGAATAAGTCAACATCCTGATTTAAATCGCCCTCCCCTTTTTGTGTTTCGAGCTAGTTTGTTAGGTAACTGAAGGCGATTAACACAAATAAGTGCTTTGAAAAGCATTGCTTACTAAGTCATTAGTTTACTTAGCCGCAATTACGCATGCCTAAGTATTACAAATTCTACACAATATTTCTAAAGATTTTAATTGTGCAGGTCTGGCATTTCAAACTGTTGGTAAGCATTTCGACAGGTAAATAACAATTTAGCAGGCAAAATACCTCATAAAATGTTAAACTGATGGACAAGGTCCTGCGATTAACCCTACCAAGTACGAAGAAGTCGCTCTATCTGTTTGCGCTAAACGTATTTTCCCCATCACAACACCTACTTTCGCTTTCACTGAAAAAGAAACAATTTCTTCCTTATCAAAACTGTCTTAGTCTGAATCCACAATTAGTCATTTGTTCCTTTACCTCAAAGTAGCAAGTTTGACAACCGAGAAGCTTGACAATAAAGTAGCGATTCCTGCCGCTATGTGTACCGCAACTTTGTTCACGCGGAAAATGGAGAAAAGACGCATTTCGTATGTTGTGCATTGCTACTTTAAATTCTCTATAATCTGGCTGCATGAGTGTATCATGGTAACACTCTTCCCACCGAGACCTCTTAGAAGGCCTGACTACAACAGCGAAGATGCTCTATTGTTCTTTTAAATGTAATGCTGCTCAAAAAACTAAAAAGCTGTACCTTTTCTCAATAACCAGTTTTTTTTCCAAAACACAACTAATCCCTTTTTGTTCTTCATCGTAAACTAATGACCGCTTGTCACTTATTTGTGACGTTGGGTTCAATTAATGAAATGGAGTCCTTGCGTAAGTAAGGCACTGTTAACTAGCCTCTACCTCTTAAAGACGGGTTACATATGACTCAAATTTTTCTACAAGTCATATTTAGCTTGCAATTTAGCTAGCACGTTTCTTTGCTGATGCTTTAGTCACTCCTTATTTACCAAGAAAGTTGTATAACAAAATATGCTGCTCTAAGCTCTTCTAGGTTGAATCATGGGCACCAACAGCCAGAAATATAAACGTACTTTTTTAATAAGGAAGACTAGATATTCACTAATTCATTTTATTCAGCGAATAGACACAAGTGATTAAGAAAGAGGTGGAGAGGGTCATCGAAATGAGATTAGAAGTTATTCAAGCCTCCAAAAGCCTGGGGCATTAATACCTTTAATGAAGTGGTCCAGTTGCACTATAAAAAGTTAAAACTATTGGAGACTTTGAACTCGGTGAATGTGAACGAGACAGTTAAAGAGTCCTTAGAAGTAATTTGATACCATTTATTAAAAAGGTGTTCGGTAATGGGTCTTCGTCTGAACAGAAAGGGCAAATAAAGGGGAATGTCCGAATTAGGTGAAAAATTATAAGTTAAGCCAAACTACCATTGCAGCTGGGGTCTTTCCCGAATCCGTAATAAGGGCACACCAGCCCAGAAGAATGGTTCAGCACTGGTCCACACAAAAGCTGGGAGGCCGTTGGGAAAGGCAAAGGCACAGACCTCGTAGACAGAAGAATCTACTCAACAAATGCTTCAAAATTTCAAAATGTGGAACCTTTAATAGACTTTCTTGTTAATAAAAAATCATCATCTTGATTTTCAAATGCTTTAGTGCTGAGGCTTACGACTTATACCCCACTTTATGTGGGGATTTCGAAGAATGGGACAAGAGTGTGGGGCTTTGAAGAACAAAAAGGACAAAATTGCACTCCTCAGCATAGAAATTACAAAGTTAAAATATTTGTCTCTGTTATTTGAAGCTTGGTATAATCATTTTAGGCATTAAGTTTTTTTAGTTCCACTTTAAATAATTACCTATGGTCAGTCAGAGCAGTGACCCTGACCTTATCCCATTTGTTAAAGTAATCGCGAATGCAGTCTGCAAATTTTTCCAAAGGAGACACCAGCTGACCTCATATTTTGCTCTTGCAAGACCCCC